GTACACACACACACACACACGTACACACACACGCACACGAAAAAAGAGGTAACCACACCCCTAGCTAATCCGAAAAGCAATTCAGGCCCTCAAATGGTCCAGCTCATTAACCGGAGCGCCCCCTTCTGCCCCCGTTCGATCTCTGTCCGGATACGGGCGAGTGGCTGATGGGTAATCCGGTTTTAACTGAATTCCCTATTTCCAGCGAATCCTCACCCTTCAGTCGACAACCCTAACTAAATCTATTTTTTTTCTCTCTCTCGACTGATTATCAAAGTATCGAATTATGAGGAAATTAAGTCTGTGTAATATTTATTTATTTTTTTCTTGTAAACTATTCGGATTCAGGATTTACGGTCATATTGGGGTAGAAAGCAAATCCATAGTCATATACTAAGTTATTAATACTTGGTCCACACCGCTACCACGCAGTCACGGGATGCTAAATTTGGCATGAGGCATATAGTCTGCTAATAGTTTCAGATTTACAATACGGTACGAGCTATAGTTAGCACGCGCTGTCTGCTCTGTTCTATACTTGGTCACAATGGCTTCTATTTATCTTACAAATTCCAGAAAAAATAATGAATAGGCTTCATTCAAAAAGGCTGTTCTTGACTTCGACCTGAATGGGATGTTTCGTATTTTATAACATCATTTCAAAAGGGTTAATTATTTAAAAGTTAATATATTACACAAAGGAACAATCAATTTTGAATAACATCATTTCAAAAGGGTTGATTATTTAAAAGTTGATATATTACACAAAGGAACAATCAGTTTTGAACAATCAATTTTGAACCGAACTAGGCTGCAGGGTTTGTGTGAGAATGGTGGGGATACAGTGTTTGGAAACTAAAATAAGGCTGCTAGAAATAGTTGTATCTAATGCTGGTGTAAAAAGTCTAACGATAATTTTGTAATAAAATTATGTAATAAGTTCTGAAACTTGGATAAAAAAACAATGGATTCAGAACCCTCCTAGTTATTCTTCTGCACAAATTACCGAAACTGACTGGTTCAAGACTGACTGATTTTGCAAACTCTCTTTTTTCGATAATCAACGCAATCACTTTCTGAAAGCTGTATCCTGTTTACCCCGTCTCGAGTCGTGGGAGCGAAAACACTTACATATTTGTTATGACCCGTGATTTATGATAATTGGCTATCAGATCTCAATGCTCAATTTATCAATCTCAATTTCAATCTATGGTAATTGACAATCGTATCTCAATACTTACCATCTACTGTTGCTTTATTTTGACACATGAGTTTACTTTAAGAAAAAAAACAAACGAGAAAACAATAAAAAAAAACTTCATGATGCAAATAACTTGTGCCTTCTTTCATTTATGTTGAGATACATACTGAATAATATTTTAAGTGATTTTAACAAATCAAACGAATTCATTCAAGATGATGCTATTTTTAAAAAATCAAATGAAATTTGTGCTCATCTAAAATCTACTAAATTCCACCTTTCCTAAAGCTGTGACGTCATTATTTCTTTGTTGACATAAACAAACTCACAAACTTAAATATATCTTCAGAAGCTCTTATCCAGACAAATGAATATTTTAGTATCATTATCCGTTTAATATGGAAAAGAAATTAAAACGTCCTGGATTAATAAATATGCCATTTTAACGCAATGGACCATGTAGTTTTGAGGAATTTCGTAAATACTGCAAAAGGTTTAAGGCGACAGGCAGTTCGTCATTGGCTTGGAGAAAATCCTTGCCTTAAATTATGTTTTCTGTGTTTTTTTCGTCTTATTTTAATGTTTTAATTTTTTTTTCTATTTTCATTTTTACTAAATTTGGTGTTCCTTTTATTTTTTTTCCTATCTTGTCTGTTTTGAAGCCATTTTTTTCATATAAATACTATCTAGGGTTACCATACAACTAGAACTACCATCACGTCACTTTGAACTAATTTCATATCAACCAAACTCGACACTAGACTGAAACTATGGAATTCTTCAAACTTGTAGTAAGATGTTATCAAACTCATTCTTAAAATAAACTATGGTTCCTATAACTAGTTAGATTAGTTACTTTTTCTATTAACTAGTGAATGCATTCGAATAGTTTTTCATTCTTCAGCTAAAAAAAATATCAACTATTCATAAAAAAAAAAATCTATTACCTAATAATAAAAGAATTTAAGATATTTTAATAATGACAATATATCATCCTAGGTTATATGAGAATAACTCATGACTAAAAACATGACTAAACAACAATATTCTAAAAAAAAAAAAAGTCAGCAGCACCCAAAACATTAAAAAAAAAAACTTAACATATTTAGAGAGAACAAATTACATCCACCATTATCCCCGGACAGTGAACAAATTCTAACGGCTAATGAACACACGAGCACAAAAGTGCACCTGTTTTGCTCTCGCCTCCACGTTGCCTTTCATACTCGTAATCTGGACGCCGGCAGCTTTAGTAGAGTCTGCCACCTGGCGGCAAAGCGGGGAAACACTGGCTAACATTTTATTTACAGACGGGTGAAAAAAAAAAACTTAAAAAACAAAAGCACATCATCGATAGGGGATCGTGTTCGGTTTAAAGGGATAGGGTGTTAGGAAGGAGGGATTTGAGATCGAATTATGGTATCAGGTTTGATTATTATGGAATTAACAATGGGAGGTGACTTGTGTGAAATTAACAAGTATTTAGATAAGTATTTTAATTTACCCAAAAACCGGGAGTAGGAGGGAATAAGAGGTAAAATAAATACGGAAAATAAATAAGAAAATAATAACAGGAGCCATAACAACGAAAACGACAACAATAACAATAATGAAAATAATACAAATAATAATAACACTAACAGTTATGATGATGAGAAAGAGAAATGATAAATAAAAGGTGAAAGAGAAGAAGAAATAATTGAAGAGTACATAAATAAACTCAAATGTGTACAAACAACAAGAGGAAAACCGTTTTCTGTCCGTAGCAAGCCACAGCAAGTCTAAGATACGTCAAAGCAATTCACAGCAAGCCTAAAACGGCAAGTCACAACCGGCGACCCGAGAACTACACAAAACAGCAAAACCAAATCAAATCAAGTCACAACAACCCACAGCAAGCCAAAACAACCCACAACAACCCTGGAAACCACATCAAACCACAAGGAAGCCTCATCGAACTATATCAAACCACATCAAGCCAAAACAACCCACAACAGCCCTTATGCAACCATATCATACATTTTCATATCTCAAGCCAAAACAACCCAACGGACACCAAATCAACCCACAACAAACCAAATCAACCGACAGCAAACCAGAGCAAACCAGATCAACCGACAGCAAACCAGAGCAAGCCAAAGCAACCCACAGCAAACCAGAACAACCGACAGCAAACCAGAGCAAGCCAAAGCAAGCCAAAGCAAGCCACAAACACGGAAACCGGCTAAAAGCCCCAAATGTTGCAAGGGAAATGTACAATAAAGCTTTGATTTGCAGACGAGCTGACAGGAGAGCCAGGCTTGGTGGGGGGGGGGGGAGAGGGAGGAGTGGAGGAGTCTGTTCCATTAAGTATATTTGCTCGTTTTTTCTTTCCAATACTGTTCTTTATCATTTTTATTTAATTTGGTTCTTATATCCCTCTTTATATATATATATATATATATATATATATATATATATATATATATATATATATATGTATGTATATATATGTATATGTGTGTGTGTATGTGTGTATTCCTACATCTATCTTTTTTTTCTCTCTCTCGACTGATTATCAAAGTATCGAATTATGAGGAAATTAAGTCTGTGTAATATTTATTTATTTTTTTTCTTGTAAACTATTCGGATTCAAGATTTACGGTCATATTGGCGTAGAAAGCAAATTCATAGGTCATATCCTAAGTTATTAATACTTGGTCCACACCGCTACCACGCAGTCACGGGATGCTAAATTTGGCATGAGGCAGTAGTCTGCTAATAGTTTCAGATTTACAATACGGTACGAGCTATAGTTAGCACGCGCTGCCTGCTCTGTTCTATACTTGGTCACAATGGCTTCTATTTATCTTAAAAATTCCAGAAAAAATAATGAATAGGCTTCATTCAAAAAGGCTGTTCTTGACTTCGACCTGAATGGGATGTTTCGTATTTTATAATATCATTTCAAAAGGGTTAATTATTTAAAAGTTGATATATTACACAAAGGAACAATCATTTTTGAACAATCAATTTTGAACCGAACTAGGCTGCAGGGTTTGTGTGAGAATGGTGAGGATACAGTGTTTGGAAACTAAAATAAAGCTGCAAGAAATAGTTGTATCTAATGCTGGTGTAAAAAGTCTAACGATAACTTTGTAATAAAATTAAGTAATAAGTTCTGAAACTTGGATAAAAAAAAACAATGGATTCAGAAACCTCCTAGTTATTCTTCTGCACAAATTACCGAAACTAACTAGTTCAAGACTAACTGATTATGCAAACTCTCTTTTTTCGATAATCAACGCAATCACTTTCTGAAAGCTGTATCCTGTTTATCCCGTCTCGAGCCGTGGGAATGAAAACCCATACATTTTTGTTATGACCCGTGGTTTATGGTAATTGGCTATCAGATCTCAATGCTCAATTTATCAATCTCCATTTCAATTTATGGTAATTGACAATCAGATCTCAATATTTACCATCTACTGTTGCTTTATTTTGACACATGAGTTTACTTTAAGAAAAAAACAAACGAGAAAAAAATAAAAAAAAACTTCGTGATGCAAATAACTTGTGCCTTCTTTCATTGATGTTGAGATACATACTGAATAATGTTTTAAGTGATTTTAACAAATCAAACGAATTCATTCAAGATGATGCTATTTTAAAAAAATCAAACGAAATTTGTGCTCATCTAAAATCTACTAAATTCCACCTTTCCTAAAGCTGTGACGTCATTATTTCTTTGTTGACATAAACAAACTCACAGACTTAAATATATCTTCAGAAGCTCTTATCCAGACAAATGAATATTTTAGTATCATTATCAGTTTAATATGGAAAAGAAATTAAAACGTCCTGGATTAATAAATATGCCATTTTAGCGCAATGGACCATGTAGTTTTGAGGAATTTCGTAAATACTGCAAAAGGTTTAAGGCGACAGGCAGTTCGTCATTGGCTTGGAGAAAATCCTTGTCTTAAATTATGTTTTCTGTGTTTTTTTTTTTCGTCTTAATTTAATGTTTTTTATTTTTTTTTCTATTTTCATTTTTACTAAATTTGGTGTTCCTTTTATTTTTTTTCCTATCTTGTCTGTTTTGAAGCCATTTTTTTCATATAAATACTATCTAGGGTTACAATACAACTAGAACTACCATCACGTCACTTTGAACTAATTTCATATCAACCAAACTCGACACTAGACTGAAACTATGGAATTCTTCAAACTTGTAGTAAGATGTTATCAAACTCATTCTTAAAATAAACTATGGTTCCTATAACTAGTTAGATTAGTTATTTTTTCTATTAACTAGTGAATGCATTCGAATAGTTTTTCATTCTTCAGCTAAAAAAAATATCAACTATTCAAAAAAAAAAAATCTATTACCAAATAATAAAAGAATTTAAGATATTTTAATAATGACAATATATCATCCTAGGCTATATGAGAATAACTCATGACTAAAAACATGACTAAACAATATTCTAAAAAAAAAAGTCAGCAGCACCCAAAACATTAAAAAAAAAAAACTTAACATATTTAGAGAGAACAAATTACATCCACCATTATCCCCGGACAGTGAACAAATTCTAACGGCTAATGAACACACGAGCACAAAAGTGCACCTGTTTTGCTCTCGCCTCCACGTTGCCTTTCATACTCGTAATCTGGACGCCGGCAGCTTTAGTAGAGTCTGCCACCTGGCGGCAAAGCGGGGAAACACTGACTAACATTTCATTTACAGACGGGTAAAAAAAAAAAAAAACTTAAAAAACAAAAGCACATCATCGATAGGGGATCGTGTTCGGTTTAAAGGGATAGGGTGTTAGGAAGGAGGGATTTGAGATCGAATTATGGTATCAGGTTTGATTATTATGGAATTAACAATGAGAGGTGACTTGTGTGAAATTAACAAGTATTTAGATAAATATTTTAATTTACCCAAAAACCGGGAGTAGGAGGGAATAAGAGGTAAAATAAATACGGAAAATAAATAGGAAAATAATAACAGGAGCCATAACAACGAAAACGACAACAATAACAATAATGAAAATAATACAAATAATAATAACACTAACAGTTATGATGATGAGAAAGAGAAATGATAAATAAAAGGTGAAAGAGAAGAAGAAATAATTGAAGAGTACATAAATAAACTCAAATGTGTACAAACAACAAGAGGAAAACCGTTTTCTGTCCGTAGCTGTGGCAGTAAGCAAGCCACAGCAAGTCTAAGATACGTCAAAGCAATTCACAGCAAGCCTAAAACGGCAAGTCACAACCGGCGACCCGAGAACTACACAAAACAGCAAAACCAAATCAAATCAAGCCACAACAACCCACAGCAAGCCAAAACAACCCACAACAACCCTGGAAACCACATCAAACCACAAGGAAAGCCTCATCGAACTATATCAAACCACATCAAGCCAAAACAACCCACAACCCTTATGAAACCATACATCATACATTTTCATTTCTCAAGCCAAAACAACCCAACGGAAACCAAATCAACCGACAGCAAACCAAATCAACCGACAGCAAACCAGAGCAAACCAAATCAACCGACAGCAAACCAGAGCAAGCCAAAGCAACCCACAGCAAACCAGAACACCGACAGCAAACCAGAGCAAGCCAAAGCAAGCCAAAGCAAGCCACAAACACGGAAACCGGCTAAAAGCCCCAAATGTTGCAAGGGAAATGTACAATAAAGCTTTGATTTGCAGACGAGCTGACAGGAGAGCCAGGCGGAGTGTGTGTGTGTGTGTGGGGGGGGGGGTGGAGGAGTCTGTTCCATTAAGTATATTTGCTCGTTTTTTTCTTTCCAATACTGCTCCTTATCATTTTTATTCAATTTGGTTCTTATATCTCTGTGTACGTGTGTATGTATGTGTGTGTGTGTGTGTGTGTGTGTGTGTGTGTGTGTGTGTGTGTGTGTGTGTGTGTGTGTGTGTGTATGTGTGTGTGTTTGTATGTGTGTATGTATTCCTACATCTATTTTTTTTCTCTCTCCTTTGATGTCGTTTAATCTTCTGGTTATTTTTTTATTTTTTTTTATATATTCTTGCTTTTGCCCATTTTCTACTTCTTTTTTCTTATGTTTCTATTTACTTTCTTCTAATTCTGTCTTCGTTTTTGGTGTTCTTGTGTTTTTTCTTCTCTGCATTTATTCCTATTTTCTCTCATCCGTTTCTGCTTCTACTCTTTCTCCATCATTTTTTGTTTTGCTTTCTTTTGCTTTTTATCTATTTTTTATTTATTTCTTCTTCTCTTTTTGTCATCATTAACCTCCTCCTCCTTTCAGTCTTTCTATT